TGTGATATCTCGCTTTCTGTCTCTATGTCTCTGTCTGTCTGGCGAGCGCCCGCGCCCTATAGCAAAAACCTCTAAAAGAAAAAAAAAATGAATGAGTGAATGAATGAATAAAGTTCAATAAAATATATTTTTTTAAAGTTCTGATGTCCTCCACCTCCCATGTCTTTAGTAACCCCTCTGCTTCTTTCTCCTCTCAGCAGCCGAGTTTCCTGAGAACACTCTACTTCCCTCTCCTCCTTGGCTCCCTCGAGTCTTCCCCCCCACTGTTCCTGATGTCACTCTCTCAGGCCACCGAGGACTCTTGGTGAGGTCAGCTCTGTCATACCCTTGGCATCTCAATGCATGACAATGTTGTATACCTTGTAGAAACACCGTGCATTGGGGACCAGCAGGAGGCGCGGAGGTTAAGGCGGCTGGATCCCACATGGCTGACGGCACCGTTCAAGTCCTGGACCTATCAGCTTGAAAACGTGCTGCATGCACGCCCAAAATCTAGGAGGACACTGGAGGAGGAGGGATTATGGTGTGGCTGGCCCCCAGGGGGAGTTTTCTCACTTTCCCCTCCCTCTGTCTCTGTCTCTGTCTCTCTCGGTGAGCACACACACCCTAAAACTAAAAAAAAAATGGAAAAGAAGCATCTCCCACCCTGCTCTGAGAACGCCGCTGTCTCCTGGCTCCCGCCTAGCTCTCCAGCTGTCTGCTCCTTTGGGAAGAAAGGAGGAAAACCAAACTCTGTCTCCTCTACTGTCATCCTCCATCAATTGTCACGGAAGGGTCTTGTCATCTCTGGTCACCAGGAAGGGTGGGGATTTCTCCGTCAGTCCTCCAAGTTCTGCAGTGGACACCCACCGGGATTCCTCTAATTCCATCCAGTTCTGGGCTCTCCCTGGAGACAGAATGAAATCCTCCCATAAGATGCAGTCGTAAGCCCCAGGTCGTCGTGCTGACGACCCCACCCGGCTCTGTCAGGTTGCCACCAGCCCCTCGGTAGGTTCCATTGACTTGCTAAAGCAACTCAAGAAAACATTTACATTCACTGATTCATTATAAAGGGTATGTCAAAGGACACGATGGGCAGAAGTTAGGGGTTAGGGCCTAGGGCCGTGTGTGTGTGTGTGTGTGTGTGTGTGTGTGTGTGTGTGTGTGAATGGCATGGAGCTTCCATTCACTCTCTGGCGAACCAGGAGTCTCCTCAGTAGCCGATGTTCTCTAAGTGCTGCTCTTTTAATTATTCAGTTAATTATTTTTGCTACAGAGTGCACACACTTGAGAGAGACAGAGGGGGAAAGTGAGAAAGCACCCTCTGAGGGGAATGGCCACACTGCAATCCCTTCTCCATTCCTCTCAGGATTTGGGGCACACACACACACATGCTGCATGCACGCCCAAAATCCTAGGAGGAGACTGGAGGAGGAGGGATTATGGTGTGGCTATCCCCCCAGCGTGTGTTTTCAAACTGCTGGGTCCAAGACTCAAACCACACTGCCATGTAGGATCTAAACTGCCCCAACCTCCACGCCACCCGCTGGCCCTACTTTTGGGTTTTGATGTTTTGTTTTTGTTTTTGAGAGGTTTTTGGCAGAGAGACAGAGAGATGGAAAGGGAGAAATCACCCCTGGGGCGGGGGGGCGGGGGAAGATGGCCACGCCTCCACTCTCCTCTTGGGATCTTCAGCATGCACGCACACGCGCCCAGCGAGTTTAAGCCACCAGCTCTGGGACTTGAACCGTGGTCGACTACTTGGTAGTCCAGCAACATAGCCATTACGCCAACTGCTGACCCCTGTTTTGGGTTTTTAATGGAGGCTTCGCCACAGGCATGATGGATTATATCCTTGGCCAGTGGTGATCAGTTCAACCTTTGGTCTCTCTCCCCACCCTCTAATCCTGCCTAGGTCTTTCCAGTAACCACCCGTCCTGAAACCTCGGGGGGCTGGCTGCCAGCCAACAAGCAACTCCAGCATGTGAAAAGGCACTCACTGCTTAGAGATACCAAGGCTCTAGGGAGAGGATCAAATGTGTTTCCCAAGACCACAGTTCCCAGCTCCTTTTGCTTTGCTCAGACCACCAGGGCTGGGGCCTCAGCCTGGGCCAGGCCCCACTCTCTGCCCTCTCACACGTATGGCTCTCAAATCTCGAATGCCAACCCAGATCTCTGGAGTCACAGGGCCACACAGCCAGCTGCCCTGCCATCCACGAGGATGTCACTCCCCCTACACAGCAGCCCCAGCTTTCTCGGCCCTGCCCTCCCGGCTCTGCTCTCCCCACTCTGCTCCAGTCAGTCACCACATCCCGTGACTTCACCCCAAACTGCTGGACGCCATTACTGGTCTGCCCCCCCACTGCCTCCTTTACTTCTCCTGGGCTGCTTCTGGCCTTCCCCACTCCAGTCTGACAGCATCCTCCACCTCCTAAGCAAGTCTCTGCTCACAATCCACCAGAGGCCCCCTGCCACCTGGCTGGCCTGTGTCCTCTCTGCTGTGCCTCTCCAGCTTCCCCAGCTGCCGTGACCTTGCCTGCCCCTCAAACACACACTCTTCCTTGACTCCCAGAGGAGGCAGGCCCCTTCCTCCAGAAAGCCTCTCCAGACTGCCCCACTTGGCCAGGAGCCCATCATGGCACATTTTCATGCTGAGTGGTTGTCACCAGTGTCTAGACTCGCCCTTCCCTGGGGAGGATTTCCTCACTGCTGTATGCTCAGTGCCTAGAACAGTGCCTGGCACACAGTGGAGGCTTAGTATATTCTTTCCAAGTGAATGGCTCGAACGTGAACCCATTGCAGCTGGCGAGCAACCCTAGGACACAGCAGGGCTGGCTGGGGCTGCAGGCCCTGCCCTGGCCCAGGAAGCAGCTGCCTCCTGCTATAGCGTTGTTCTGATCAGACTCCCGAAGAACCTGGCCAGACTCCACACTTCTCCCATTAGTGGCCAAGACACGAGGTTGTCCAGACATGGGCACACAACCCAGCCGTGGGCACATTCCCCAGGCACAAGGGCTGCCCAACAGAGTTGACCCTGCCAGGGACACCGGGTCATTCCAGGGCACCAGCCCCAAGAGTAGCCACACACAGCCTGCCCCATACATCATCGATGGGTATTGTGGCCCCAAGTCCAACTCTTGAGGGTGGGAAGATGGCTCCTTTTTCCTCAGCCAGCGAGGGAAGGGGCCTGGTGGGGCTCGGGCTCTTCTGCTGCTACCGCCCATGCTGCAGGGCCAGGAGTCTAGGAGCACTAACAGCCTCTCCCTGCCGATGAGCCCAGGGCCTTGCTGAAATCCAGGAGCTGTGACCTGCTCCTGGGCCAGGGCAGCAGAAGCCCCCGAGGTCAGGGAGGGCATGGGTGAGCAGCAGTGGGGTGGGGGGCAGGGCACTCTGCACGAGAGTCCTGGCAAGGCAGGGGGAAGGGGAAGCCACAGCCACACCAGCCCCTGCAGCACAGGGAGCACTGGAGCCCTGGGAGTCAGCATGGCCCTAGGTCCCTACTATTGGCTCTCTGCATTGCCCCAGAAGTCACCATCACCCTGCCCTAACCCACATGCTTGACGGCAGAAGCCAGGGGTCTGTCAGGGGGAGCTGGTCCAAGCTCCCAGCCTGCAGGCTACCCTGGGCCAGGGTGCTGCTCACAGCACTGCCGAGGGAGCTTCATGGGCTGACCTCTGCCCCAACCAGGGGCACGATGTGCATGCACCCGAACATGAACTGCACCCATTGGAATGACGTAACCTGGCAGCCTCGCCTGCTCAGCGGCCCTCTCCCTGGAAGAGAGGACCCTTTCCTGCCCCCTCTAAAGAATCACATTCCAGGGGCCAGCAGGTGGCATGGTGGTTAAAGATGCTGGATTCCCACATGGCTGACTACAGTTCAAGTCCTGGACCTGGTGGCTTGCTTTCTCACTTTCTCTCCCTCTCTCCCTCCCTCTCTCTCTCTCTGTCCTTCTCTAATCAAATTAAAAATAAAGTTAAATAAATTAAAAAAAAATAATCACATTCCAGCACAACACGGGTAAGAAGAGATGGGTTTATAGGTCACAGTATGGGGCAGACGGGAAGGTGGCAGGGCCTGTAGTGATGAGCTTCCCAGGGACAGATCAACGGACAAACAGGAGTTGGGGGCCCAGAGAGACAAGCAGACAGATGGAAACAAAAACAAATAAGAGGCCCAGCCAGTCTCAGCAGTGGTGCCCAGGCATCAGATCCAGCTCTTCCCTGGGCACCTAGTGGATAAGCAGGGCTAGTGGGGGCCCCCAGTCCTCACTCCCTGCTGTCCTTCATCCGGGAGGCTGGGACCTTGGGCAGGTGGTACTTCTGGGGCTAGAGAATGGCTGGTCTGGGCAGGTAGATGATCAGGGTTCTTGGAGGCTCCCTGGGGAGGTAGAGGCCTGGGTGGTTGGGTTTAGTAGCAGCACTGGGGGAAATCTGGTCAGAGGCCTGGGACGGGGCCACCGCTCAGCAGGGCCCCCCCACCCTGCCTACCACACCAACATGGTGTAATAAATAAAGTTTCAAGTAGTCAGTCAGTTCAGCGTCAAGTAGGAAAGCCGGAGGCTGGCGGAGGGGCAGGGGCTGGGAGGAGAGGCCCAGCCGCCCTGCCCACCACCCCCAGGGGCTCCAGCTGCACCCAGCCCATCCTGTACTAGAGCGGGTATCTGGCCGGAAGTCGGCATGGGCACTGCCTGCAGGAGCTCAGCCCCTCAGACCAATGCCAGAGCCTGCTCAGTGGGGCAGAAGCAGGGCAGCATGGTGCCCACAGCGTCTACAATAGCTGCCAGGTGCTCGTCCTGTGCCTGGGGCCCGCAGAGCTGCATGAAGTCGGCCAGGCGCAGCAGGTACTCCAGGTTGTGGCCAGAGAAGCCGCGGCAGGACAGGATCTGTGTCGCGATGACCTCCTCTGGCGCGGGGCCCAGATAGCCAGGGTTCTGTGGGGTGGCCACATAGGCCAGCGCCTTGAGTGGCTGGGCTGGGTGATCTTGAGGATAGAAGGTGACCTCCTTGGTGTCATAGCCGCCAAGTACCGCCTCACGCACGTTCAGGTATTTCAGAGCCTCGCTCACCTCCTCGCCTCGGACCTGGTATGCCACACCCCAAGTGCAGCCCTAGGAAGAAACAGGGATGCCTGGGGTCAGTCACCACAGCACCGTGCTGGTCCCTCCTCCCTCGTAGGATGAAATCCCACCCCAGGATTATGCTGTATAAGTAAGTGACCCAGGGGACTGGCTGAAGAGCCATGAAGCAGCAACAGGTTTCCCGTCTCTCTCTCTTTTTTTAAAAAAATATTTTTGGTGTAGGGCATATGCGCTTATCAGAGAGAAAGAAACAGAAAGCAAGAAATCACCCCTTGAGGGGGGATGGCCCACCACAATCCCTTCTCCATTCTCCTCTTGGGACTTTGGGTACGCATGCACATGCTCCAGGCATGAGTTCTAAACTGCCGGGTCCAGGACTCGGACCGCGGTTCACTGCAGGGGAGTCCAACGACGTAACCATTATGCCATCTGCTGGTCCCATGTTTCCCATTTCTTAAGAAGGGTTAACAAGGTGGTCTAGCTGCATAGGACAGATCCCTACTCAGGTGTGGTCCAGCAACCAGTGACATCAGCTGTATGTTTGTTAGGAACGCTGCGTCTTAGGCCCCACTCTGGGTCCACAGAATTAAAATCTCCATTTTAATCTCCACACTAAAGATCTCAGATTAAAGACTATCCAGTGAGTCCTCAGAGAAGCACTGAGCAAGACCACGTTTCTGTTCTGCCAGAGGCACCAAATCTAGCTTGCAGTGGTGGGCCTATGAGCTCTGCCTGTCTTTGCCCCTCCACACTGGGCCTTAGGGTCCCCCTTCTTGACTCCAGCACTTACCTCCCGATCTTCAAGAAGGGTCACCACACGGCCAGGCT